AGGGTGCGGAACAGGGGAGAGCATGTATTTTATTTTATTTTTTTTTGAAACTTCAGGTCATTTTCACATCGTTTCTTAAGTGAAGCCTGGAATCGTAGCCAAAGGCAGCAAAACGTTTCTCTAAATGCAAAAGTATCTCAAATACAGCGGCCGTAACGTGCGCTTTCCCGTAGCTGATTAAATCCCCGGCAGCCGAGTGCTGCCTGTTCCTTCGAAATATTTCCCTGATGAATGCGGCGTGCTTTCAACACCCTGCTTTGTAGAAAGTTTCACTACAAGCCGAGAATATTTAGCGGGCAAATCTTTTCACTTCTAAATTGCATTATCATTAAACAAGTCGTTGCCCCCACCGTGTTTTTATACAACGTACTGAATCCGAATCTACGTGATTAACTGGACGTCTCGCCGGCTGATCAGCCACCGCACATCTTTGGGGTTCCCACTTAAAATTTAATTAAATGTACTGGGAGGTGCCATGGCCTTTTGCATTTGTTTGTAGGGTTTTTCTTCCGCACAGACATGTAAAAGCAAAAATCACATAAATTAAGGTTCAACTTTTAAGAGAAATTTGAAACTTATTTTCCTCTACGCGCTTTCTTCAGGTTATCTGAAAAGCTGGACGGACCGTGGATCAGCAACCGGGTTTGGTGAAAGGGGGTTTGTTTGGTTTTTACTCAGGAAAAAACTTTATTTAAGAGGATTTTTTCATCTGAGTGTGAGCGCGTGCACGGTTCCTATTAGTTTTGAGAGTCACACAAGCACACTGGGGGAAGGAAAGACTCTTACGTGCTTGTGTCTGGATCTAGAGCAAACCTTGTGAGCACCATCTCACTCTACTCCTTCGAAAAGGAGCTGTACACCAGCAGCAGCACGGTGCCATCCCATGCCAGGAAAATGAACAATGCAACCCACCACGATTTTCAAAATTCACTGCATTTTAAGGATTAGAGCTTCCCGTGCAAAGTTTTTAAGGTGGAAAAGCCTGCTCTGATCACCGCTGTTTGTTATTTCCTTGCTCAGATGATGAAGTCTGCTGCCTACCAAGACAAAACCAAAAATAATTTACAAGGAACTCGGAAATCACCCTAAAATCAACCTGACTCACGTGAGCAGTTGCTCACATGCTTAAAGTGCTTTCGAGATAAGACTTCATTGTGAACATAAGATTAAACAATGATAATGTGATGAACAAGTGTAAGCAAAATAAATACTTATAAAAGATGTGGAAAATGAGAAGTGGTAAGTTCTATTATTAAAATATTCTATTAAAGGCCAGGAAAAAAAAAATCCTTTATTCTTCCTGGCATATTGCAGGAGTCCTGACTTGCCACACTGCAACGATTCTTCTGATAAATCTTATTAATTTAAACTGAATTTATACACACCATTTGTCTGTGTCTTAAAAACAGAGAAAAAGGGGAATAAACCCCCGACTTTTGTCAGCTACAGCAGGAGATTTCAGGTGTTCTCAGATCCGTATCCACACTCTCCAAGTGTGAATACTTCGAGTTGTTTAGGGACAAATTCTGCAACCACACGCACAATTAGCTTCATCCATTTGAAGAAGCCCGCTGAAGCGAGGAGGATTTACTCAAGTGAGTGACTGCAGAATCAGGCCCTGACGTAGGGATATTTACATCAATAGGCAATTAGATAATAAAATCCCCTCTACTAATTATCCCCCTAATCAGAGTGGGTTTCTAAGGGTTCTTGTAGGCAGTTGTGGAAGTACATGTCTAAAATACATCTTCCTCACATAAAAACCCTTATGAAAGGCAGTTGCTTGAAAAGCTTAATAGCTCCATTTTAAAGTTTCACCTCCTCAACTGTTTTACATTAAAAAATATATACAATTTCATGCACTACTGACTCGCCAAATATCCTTTTGCAAACCCGATCCGCTTTTTTAATTAGAATAGCAAAAAGGATCGGGAAACTGGCAATCATGTTTTGCTCCCAATTCGGGAAAAAGATTTTTGTCTAGAATGGTACCTAATCACGCCCTCCAACTTCTTTCCCCCAGCTCCGACACTTCCCTGCACAGAGGGTTATCTGAAATTGTCACCCGCGTCACTTTTGATTTAGTGTTATAATACACCGCCTCCAACGAACCTCAGGACACTCCACGAGCACGAGTGAGTGCGTCGACACACGGAGGACACTTCAGCACGAGAGGCTGCTTTTCCAGTCCCCTCTTCAATGGAGAGGGTACCTTTTGAAAATCGGGATCAAATATGCAAAGTACGTCGCGCTAAGCAGCCACAGCGCTCTCAGTCAGTCGACACTTTCCGCAGGAGATGAGAAAGTGAAAAATCAGTATATTTCTACATATGCAAAACCTTTGCAAGTCCATAAAAGTGTCAGGAGAATTTGCTTAAAACAGCTTATAAAAATGGGAGAGAGAACGAGTCCCAGCCTATTATTCAATAACCATGTTTGTGAGGCATCTGCATAATCTAACCATGCATAAATTAGTATGTGTATTACAACAGTTATTTGCATAATAATAGCAAGTTAATAGATGCTTAAAGAGCACAGACCAACACCACCTTTAAATCAGACATGCCTCCAGGCACTCTGATCTGTACAGACCAAGATGCAGAAAACAGCGTTCATAAAACATACGAAAACATAAAAACCACATTCAAATAATTCAGTTTAGTCCCTGGACACTTCACTTTTTACACCCTCTCCCAGGGAAGAATAATTTGAGCAACTACAGAATAGTTTGTTGCTATGCATTCTAACATCCGTCTTGCAATAAGAATTTAAAGTGATCGCTAAATCTATTTCCGGACTGGATGTTTTGCTCAGAGCTTTGTGTTTTTTCAGGCACACAAAGTAAAATAGTACGTGGCATCGGCCTCACTGCTGCCACTGAAGATGGAAGCAGTTTTGCCACCAACTTCCATGAAATTGAGTTGAGTCAGCGCAATGTTAGAAATTGCCAGTATCTAAATAGAATACTAGTATTAGGTCCTCTTAAAAGGGAGAAACCAGGGCTCCCTGAAGTATTCCATTCACATTATATTTTTGATTCGAGAGTACTTCAGATCGTTGTACGGTTATTCAAAATCGGAAGTAAAAATTTAAATATGCAAAAGCAGCAGACAGACCTCCCTGCTTCAAAAGCACTGCTGTATGCGCTGGATTATTTTTTTAATCTCGCAACAAAACAATCATCGACATCATCATAATTTTCATTGTCTCTAGGGATAGAGTTTGGAGGAGAGAGGAGGAGAGGGGAAAAACCAAAATCAATAGAGACTTCTAAATGACTCCTTCAAAATACCACTTTTCAATTTAACAGGACAGATTTATTTGTATGTGGCTCCAATGTTCACAATTGCTCTCTGCACCTTCATACATAGGAATGAATGTCACAGTGGCAAACAGCAGTAATGAACAATCTTACCTGAGGATATGGAAACCTCCCAAGAGCAAGCTGGGAAAGGAAATAATATTTGTCTAGTTATATAGATTTGCATGGAGGGCACACTTTCTTAAAGAGAGAAAAGTACTCAACTCTCACGATTGTATCAATTGGAAAATGTCACCAAAAGTAATTCTGGAGGCACACAAAGAGCTGTATTTAGAATGGAGTCGTTCACAACAATTACCCCTTGTTCTATGGTCCTGAATATTTCCGTGTTCCTCAAGCTCTTCTGCCTGCAGCACTCAGGAGCACTCGCTGATGCCCAAGGTCCCGACGACTCTCTAAATTAAGCTGGTTCAGCCTCAACAGCGAGGCCGATGACCCTGACCTTTGCAAATAAATTATCTGCGGCGAACAGGTACTGCAAAGCACGCGCCCAACTCCCAAAGTCCTCCCCTAATCTGGCTCAGAGTAAAATCTGGGTTATGGGGGCGAGGTTTGCCTCTTTATTGGGGTCAAACCCACCTGGGAACCAGCGAGTGGGACCTGGAGGGAGACCACGGCACCGGTCTTTTCTTCAGATCAACTCTGAATTGCCCACGCTATTGACTGGGTTTGCCTCTTGCCCACGGGGTCTGATAAGCCAACTGATGGGCCACCGGAGTATCTGCTAGCGCCAGTAGGAGACCCACCCATACTACTGTTGCCATAATGCCACAGCCAGGAAATATTCCACAATAAAAATATTCGTGCCAGACTTTAGGTTTTCTCATTTGGCATCCGAACCTTGGAAACAATTCCAGCAAAATACAATTAGCTTAAGTTATTTTGACTACTATTCCGCGAGGGATGAGGGGTTGCAGAGTTGACACAGACTCCTCCGAGGGGGCAGGCAGAGCAGCTCTGTTCTGACTTGCTTTCTGGAGAGGTCCACATCTCCCCAAGGTTTTAAAGAGGAGCCACAGTCAGACGAGCTTCTCTACTCTTTGTGAATCCTCCCCTCACCAAGCTCCGGAAGCAGGTTACGGAGGCGCTGCCAGCGCTGATTTGCCCGCATGCTAAACAAGGTACATTCACATCTGACTGCGTAACAGCATCCGTGCTGAAGGTCTGAGCCATCTTGTCACGTGCTGCAAAGGACAAACCACACGGATGTGCTGAGGCACCGGTACTGCCCCGATATTTGAGCCCCTCAGCGCCGTGGTTACATGACCCAGTCCGATCACCGCCAAGGCAGCTGTGCTAACCTATGATGAAATTTCAGCCAGGCTGGCAGCACAAAGCTACCCCAAGTATGAACAATAAGGCACAGAGAGAGCCTTAGCAAGGTGGGAAAACGATGGAGCAAAGACCAGGAGACACTAGTTCAGGAAAAAGGTCGTGAGAAGGTGGTGTGAAGAAGGTAAAAGCAAGAGCGGAAGCCACCAGGAAAACGGCAGAGATGGTGCCCATTCTGCAAGCCCAGCTGCTGCCCAAACGCGGTATCGCACCATTTGGCTGTGAGCCTCAGCAAATAGAGCCAGCTTCTTCCAGGCCCTCACGGGAAAGACATTACAAAAGCAGAGTAGGTCTTGAAGCATTTGCCTACGAGAGGTATGCAAGAGGAACCCAGAGAGATGAAGGAATTCTTTTGGCGACTAATCTTAAAAGGAGATTGAGATAGTATCTGTCCTGAGAATCTACAGATGTATCAAGTGGGTTCTAAAGGGGCTACTGGGTTGGTACAAAACCTCTGAACTGGTATCATTGAAAATTCACCCCAACCTTTGCTCCACTCTGTCATCAGTGGCAGCTTGCACAACGACTGAGGAGGAGCCGTTACGGTTTGCTCTATCAGGATGGTGCTGACCAAGGATCCCTACTAGCAAGAATGTTTTTCGGAGACATTTCTGTTGTGCCACTCAGCTCTCTGAACATTGTCATCTGCTTCTAGACTTCCATCTGGGGATCGTTGTGTTTGCCTGGGCTGTAAGACCAGCACCTGCAGAACGTAGAAGAAATCAGGCTGGCAAGAGACACTGGAATAGGTCTAAGTAAGATCCCTTCCAGGTTCTCTAACGTGATCCAGTCTGAGCCAGCTTCCTCTTTTGGCTTTCTTCACTGCTTTGTCTTCCAGGATTGCCTCTAAGACTGAACTTTTGGGGGTGAATTCTGCCTTCCGCTTGCGGTTCTGAGCACAGTGCTTCTCTTGACAGCAAACTGGTTACAAACCAACCGGAGCTAAGCGGCCTTGATCGCCATCCTTTCCACCACTTGTCTCCAGTTCACAGCTTCTCCCAGATCAGAGCGTCACTCCAGACACTCTCTGATGGCACGCTCTGAAACACGCTGCTAAATAGTTAAGCAAAGACCCTGTGTTTTCTGTTATGCTCAGTCTTAAGGGCCAGAAGCTAATAAAACATGTCCTTTTGCATCTTCTCTTCTTTTGAGTAGATCATCCTTAATTTCCAAGAAGCTGCTCAAGCCCCTAAGAAGCAGCACTGCTGCTGTGTGAGCCTAGAAATCAACCTAAAAATGCCAAACACTTTTCCACAAACGGAAGTAGAAGAAATCCTGATTTTTCCAGTAACCACTGACTTAATAGTTATTACAACAGCTACAGGAATGTGGGAATGCAACATTTATCCCACTGGAGAACAAGAAGGTGAATATGGCTGGATGCACTGGGCATCATGCTGCAGACCTTAGTTAAGCAAACGACCACTGCCCCGGCGACGACTTCAAATGAAGCATTTCCATTCTCGCTGGTGATTCCTCCCCCTGACCATCGCACACCTCAGCAGGGGCTCCAAAGGCAGCAGAATAATTGAGGAAAAAAAGCAGTTTTCTGCCAGATTTAAGTACAGTATGTATAAACGAGCTTTGATGAATCCAAAAGGCATCAAGAGTAAGTTCTTTGAGGGTTGTTAAAAAAGGAATACGTTTCTCAGCGAACCATGGACAGACCACGGGCCAGTTCCGCATCCTCTGAACCATCCCTCGGATCCATCTAGTCAGAGTTGTTTCCTCCCGGTAAGATTGTCAAGGTATTATAAATTAAGAAACTTACCAAAGAGTATGTAATCTTCCCTGAAATAGCCTGCAGATATGTCACTGTACTAAATGTGTTTCAGATTTAATGAAGCTTTAATGTCCTTTTTAATTTTGCCTGTTTCTATATCACCAGGGGTCGAGCGAGGCAATCAGCACTCAAGAGGGTGGTTTGGTTTAAAACTAGGAAAAACTCATTTGCTTATGAGTTGCACTGTATTTTCTTAATTAAATTTGCTAAGTAAAATGGTTTAAGTTCAGCCAACCAATGACCTCTGTATGTAGATTTAGATTTATAAATAGCGTCACAGTTAAAGTAAAGGAAAAAAACAACCCCAAAACAAACAGATTAGAGCTTCACTAACGGGATTTTCACACTCTCTATCATCTGTCTCAGAGAAGTCTGCCTAAACCCGAGCAGCACAAGCCTAATGCAGGAACAAAACCTTGTACCCTACCAAACTAACACACACCAAAAACTTGTCTCCTCTGCTTTTACACAAGGAAACTTGGGAACTTGTGGTTTTGTTTTGAAGGCGTTATACCAAAAGCGCGGTGTTTCCAGTCACGCTCGTCAGGTCTGGGAGCTGAGAAGTATTTTAGGTAGTTGTGGATATTAAGGAGGGGAGAAAGGAACGCTTCAGCTTCAAGGAGCTGGTTCTCATTTCCCGACGGACACCTTCCCACTACAGAAGAACTGTAAAAACCATCATTTTAAAAAGGCAATGCTAGTATGGAATGGAAATATAAATGAGAATCAGACCATATCAGCACAAAACATGCCCAAATAACACTTTTCTGTATCTTTTCACTTTAGAGCAACTCCATGTGGATGTAGCAGGTTTTGGGGGTAGTAGTGAGATGTGTGGGTTTGGTTTTTTTTAAACTATTACTGCCTTAGGGCATTAAACCGCCCATCTGATGGGTGTTCACACGGTGAAAAAAGCTGTGCGGTTCCAAGTGCAAGTACCTGACAGGAGCCTTCCCCCAGGCCTGGGCAGGGGTGCAGGTGGATGTACGGGGCGCACCAGCAGATTTTAAACCAGTACTGGGTAATATCCCAGATAATTAAACAACAGGCAGAGGTACAGCGTGCGTGTATGCTGATTTTTAATCCAACTCCATCTAAAAACAGGAAAGGAAAATCAAAAAAGAACGTGAGGCAGGAAGTTTTGGTGGAGGCAGGTGCCAAAAACCTCTGTAAGATGGGCTGGAAAGCAGCTCTGACCTGTTCTCGACTACACACATTTAATGCGCAGGTAAGTGAACTGAGTCTTGTTGAAATAAAGTAATTAAGAGTTTTGGAACGGAAAATGGAAATCCAGAAAAATCCTCGCTAACAAACCGCTTTCTCTATATTGCTCTTTACCTGCCTGCCCGTACACTATTTATAAGAATTACAACAGCAGCCTGGGCCGTGCCCTGCTCAGAAAGTGAAGGAGAGAAGGAAGTTCAAACTATATTTTTAGGACACTCAGGCAATAAAGTCTCCCACTTAGATTATTGTCTATGTTGTGCAAGTTGTTTTTTAATTTACAGTTATGCTGAAAAGCACGGGATGTTTTTATTCTTAATTTAGACACATTCCATGTTTCTCAGCATAACTGCAAATTGAAAATAAGCACTTGCAATATTGCTAGCGAGCTAGCTGAAGGAGGACTTTATAGTCTGAAATGTTCTAAAATTTGTTCTTAATTACCTCGTGCACATTTTGCACAATTAAATTTCCATCTAAGGATTTTGCATTTAGATTGTGCACTGCAGTTAAACCTTCATTTTATGGAAAAACAGCCGCCACTTTGGAACACTCAGACACAGGAAACTTTAAAAATCAGACTTAACTACTGGATAACATAAAATTCCCTAGGTGAAATTCCATTCCAAGACCAATTTATACATTCCTAGATAGATGGCTTAAAATCACCTGAAACTCTGCAGGGTATGGACCTTAATAAATATTAAATACCTCAAAAACTACCCTAAGATTTTTCTTGCCTTCTAATATCAATTTCACTGTCCTCTTATTGCATGGTTTAAAA